CACAGAGGGCTGGGCTCCGACAAGCAGGTTTGGGGAAGGGGATCCCAAACATTCCGTCTACAGCAGGCCTTGGATCGCAGCGTCAAACCCCCCTCGCCCAGGGCCTGGCTCGGTGTCTGATTGAATAAGCCCGGATTGAGTTGGGGGGTTTACAGTATTCCGCCCACCAGACAGACGTGGTGGGGACAGAGGTGCAGGGGGGCCTGGCCCTCCCCTGGATTAGGGCGCCTGCCCTGCTCTGCTGGCTGCAGCGCCCCTACACCAGCCCACCTGCAGAGGGGCTTGGAGGAGAGGCCCTGAGGAAACCGGCCTTCCCTTCAGGGCCTTCGCCTGCCTTCCTGGGCCCAGGGGGCCGGGAACAATGGTGCCGTGGCCGCCCCCGGAGCGGGTGCAACGCCCATTGCCCAGCAGAACAGCCAGTTCAGGGTTTCCGCAGCAGCAGGCCCAGGCGCACAGCTGGCTGGGGCAAAGCCTCCAGAGTTTGGGGTGGGCAGGGGCGAGGCTCCAGGTGAGGGAGGAGAGTTTAAGCACCGCACCCCCCCACCAGCACCTGAAGGCTTCTCTTGTAGGAAAATACACCCGCCAGATGGTGTGCCGTGAAGGGGAGGCCCCTGACCTCCGAGATGAGGCTGGCGGGGCCTGTCCTGGCCTTTCCCATGGTGCCGTGGCCGCAGGTCACATGAGCATGCCCAGGGGCTGCTGGGAGTGGGGGCGGGAGGATGCAGAGGGGCTCCCGTGGGCTGGGATCCAGGGCACGGCCACTCCCCGGCTCCTCACATCGCGGCACCTGGGTAGGAAGGGGCAAGACAAGCAACACACAGCTTTACGTAGGAAATGAGAGCGCCCGCATTCCTACCGGCCGAAGGTCCCCTTCTGCTCGGGGTTCAGGAATCACAGGCGGGGCCTGGGCCTCTCAGGAGATCAGCTAGGGTGCCTTCGGTTTAGAGGCCCCTGTTGTCACTGTCAGAGGAAGAGGCTCTGGGCCAGTTTCTGGGACCAGGGAGGGAGGAGAGAGCAACAAGCCCACCTGCTCCTGGGGCCGCCAGCCCGGCTGTGGGGCCCTCCTGGGTCTGCACCCTCCATTGGCATCCAGGTAACAGGGAGGGGGGGAGAGGAGCAGGCTGTCGCTGGGTGTTGGGGGCCTGGGACCTGGCCCCTTTGGATGTCGGTCATGGAGCGACAAGACAACCGCCAGCTGGCTTGGCATGGATGCTAGAGAAACAACTCGGAGTCAAAAGAAGACACCATCCGAGTTCCTTACTAGTTCCCTGGAGGGGAGGGGAGGGGAGGGGAGGGGAGGGGAGGGGAGGGGAGGGGAGGGAGGGAGGGAGGAGAGGGGAGGGGCGGGGAGGGGAGGGGAGAGGGAGGGGCGGGGAGGGGAGGGGAAAGGGGACCAAAAGGACGCAGCATCCCACGTGGGGTGGGCCCTGCTGCAGGCAGGTTGGAGCCTGGGAGCCTGGGTTCTCCGGGGGCTGCTGTAGGCCAGGCCTCCTGGAGGACCAGCAGCCCTTGGGAGCAGAGAAGCAGAGTCCAGGCCTCTGTGACACGCTGGGAGCCAAAGCCGCTGGCTCCCTTGGGCGGAGGCCACACTGGGTGGTCGGAGTTGTGATTGTTGCCTCCTGCTCCTCAGAGTGCCGGGACCCATCAGGGCAGCACCAGGGAGCTCGGACCTCGGACAGTCAGCGTCAAGCTTGGAGCTGAGTGACCTGAGGCACGTCTTCCACATTGCCCGCCACGGGGCTGTTCCTGGAATGCTGTTTTCCAGGGCACGGAAACCCAGGCTGTCTCCTGACCACACCTGCCTGCTGCCCAACCGGCCTCTGACCTAGAGAGGGGGAGGAAGTGTTTTCACCGTCAGCAGGGAAGGTCCTGTCAGGCTGGTCAGCTTGCCAGGAGACCTCTGCTGTCCTGTCTGCCCCCCGTACCCTAAGGACCAAATGACCATGAGCCGGGGAGAAAGTCCACTCCACGCTCCCGCCCAGCAGTGTCCCGGAGTCCAGGGTTCCTTGCACAATCCACGCTGGAGCCTGTTCACCCCAGGGAAAGCTGGGAGGCCTCACCGACAGCCAGGCCAGCGTGTGGCCGGGGTCTTCCCGGGAGGAGGCCAGCAGCTTCCGAAGTGGCTGGAAGGAACACAGCTGCTCCTCAGCCCTCCGCGGGCCGGCCCCCGGGTCCTTGCCCAGACCGCTGGGAACTGTCGTTAGTAACTACTTTCCCAATTCAGAAAGAATGTGCTCTTTCAGCCCGGCTTGTAATAGCCCAAACCCGGAAACAACCCAAATGTCCAAAAAAACAGTACAATGGATAAATATATTACTTATTTCGACACAATGGTTACAGCAAGGAAAATGGGAGAACCGCAGCTTCATGCAAGAACGTGGGTGAATCTCACAATAATAACATGGAGCCAAAATCAGGATATTCAAAAGGTGACAGAGAGTGTGATTCCCCTGGTGTGAAGTTCAGTGGCAGGCAAACTACTGTTTTGTTTAGGGATGCGTCCAGGAATGGTTAAGGAGAAAGCAGGAGAATGGCAGAGGAAGAAGAAAGAGGCTTGGGAAAAGGCTTCTGGTAATATTAATATTTCTTGCTCTGGATGGGTATTCGCTTTATAAATACCCATTAAGTCATGTGGTTGTATGGTAGGCACTTTGCAGTATGCATATTTCATAATCAACTATTTTAAAAGTTAGATACAGAAGGATAACCTGTGCCCATGATAATCTGTCTGTTCTGACTCAAATGCAAAATCAAACTTAGTGTTTATGGAAAACTAGCGAGCATCATTGAAAGAAATTAAAGATGACCTCATTGAATGGGAAGACATCCCATGTACATGGATAAGGTGTAACTCCATTAAGACAGCTTTATCCCCCCAATTTATGCAACTCAGCCCCTGTCAGAATCCCAGCAGGCTCTATTCGCAGAAATGGTGAAATGCTGATCCTGAAATGGATACGGAATTGCCGGGGACTCCAAACAGCTAAAACAATACCGAGAAAGAAAAGCAACGTTGGTTCCTGATTTCAAAACGTACTCCAGTGCCATAGGAACCCAAACCATGTGGTGCTGGCAAGAAAGGAAACTTGGCTGTACATCTTCACGAGTTTGGATGAGGCAATGGTTTCTTAGAAGTAACACCAACAGCCCAGCAAACAAAGAAAAGAAGCAGGTCATGTGGACATGGACGAAATAAAAACTCTGTACTTCACAGTGCACTACCAAGAAAGTGATAAGGTGACCCACAGAATGGGAGAAAGATTCTGTAAATTAACCTGGTAAGTTTCTAGTGTTCCAGAATATCTGAAGAGCTCTTACAAATCAACTCCATAACAAAAAGACAAACTCAATTTAAAAATAGGCAAGGGAGCCCAGCCAACGTGGCTCAGTGTTTGAGCTTCGACCTTTGAACCCGGAGGTCCCGGTTAGATTCCTGGTCAGGGCACAGGCCTGGGTGGAGGCCCGATCCCATGTGGGGGGCGTGTAGGAGGCAACAGATCAATGAGTGTCTCTCATCATTGATGTTTCTGTCTCTTTCCCTCACCCTCTCCCTTCCTCTCTAAAATCAATAAAAATATATTTTAAAATAAAAATAGGCAAGGGAATTGAATGGGCATTTCTCCAAAGAGGATATGCAAATGACCAATACGCATATGAAAAGAAGTTTCATTATTAGAGAAATGCAAATCAAAACCACACTGTAACACCATTTGACACCCACTAGGATGTCAAAAAAGCAGATGGTCAAGTGTTAGGAGAGTGTGAAGACATTGGAACCCTCATACGTTGCTATAGTAATATAAAGGGTGCCGCCACACAAAGTTCAACATTGAGTAGCCATAGGACCCAGCAATTTCACTCCATGAGAACTGAAAATGTATGTCCACACAAACACTTATTCATGAATGTTCATAGCAGCCTTATTTATAACAGCTAAAAAGTATCCAAGTGTCCACCTGCTGATGAATGGGAAAACAAAGGTGGTCTATCCACACGAGGAAATATTGTCTGGCCATAGAAAGGAATAAAGCACTGAAACGTGCTAAGAACATGGATGAACCTTGAAAACATGCTGTGTGGAAGAGGCCCGTGACGGAAGTCTGATTCCATCTGTGAGCTGTCTGGAACAGGCGGATCCGTAGACACGGAAGGTAGATTGCCAAGCGCTGGGAGGGAGAAGGGGAGAGAGATGGGCAGTGACCACTAATGGGGCTTCTTCTTGGGGTGATGACCATGTTGTGGACTGCGACAACGATGATGGTCACACCAACCTCTGAACACACGAAAAGCTACTGAATTGTACACTGAAAAGTGCCCGTTTTATGGTAAGGTATGTCTCAATAAAAAATATGAAATTATTAAAAAAAATAAATTGGAATGGCTTCTTTGTTTTAAAAATTACACCTATACGACTCATTTTTTTTTTTTTTTTAAGATAGTGTGCTCCTTGTAAGAAAAAAGGTCACACCCCCTCCCGGGAGGAGTAGCCACCACACCCTGTGGACACTCTGTACCCTGCTTAGGGGAGGAGGATCCCAAGTGTATTTTTGTTACCAGTGGAAGGAATGCCTCCATCCCCCGCCCAACACACACACACACACACACACAGACACACGCATGCTGGCTGGAAGGATGGGAGGTAATATTAGCCCTAAAAATGCAAGTCCTTGGCTCCCAGGACAGGCGTCCCAGCCATCTGGTGAGGCAGGGGCAGCCTCTCAGGAGGGCGGGGCTCCAGGTCCGGAAGCCCGACCACCCACCGGACTTGGGTGCAGCAGGGAGGGGCCCAAGGGTGTGAAATTGTTCGAGGGGCACGTGGGCGGGGCTGGCACTCGGGGCGGGGCTAAGGGGTGGGCGTGATTGGCAATCGGGGCGGAGCTAGGGCGGGGAGTGGGCGTGGCCAAGCGCCGCGGGCGGGGCGTGGGGCGGTTTGTGAACGGCGCGGGGGCGCGGCTTGAGGGCGTGGGCGGGGTCAGGGGCGGGGCCAGCAGCCCGGGCGGGGCGCGGGGCCGGGACTGGAGCCGCTGGCGGGCCGGTGCGCAGTTGGCGGCGGCGGTGGCCGCACTGGCGGCGCAGCCTCTGTGCTCGTGGCGCCCTTGCCCTCGGCCCCCTCCCCGCCCGGCCATGCCGCCGCCCGCGCCGCCCACCGTGCTGGTGCCGTCGGAGCGCGCCGTGGTGCTGCTGTCGTGCGTGCTGTCCGCGCTGGGCTCGGGGCTGCTGGTGGCCACGCACGCCCTGTGGCCGGACCTGCGCAGCCGGGCGCGGCGCCTGCTGCTCTTCCTGTCGCTGGCCGACCTGCTGTCCGCCGTCTCCTACTTCTACGGGGTGCTGCGGGACTTCCCGGGGCCCTCGTGGGACTGCGTGCTGCAGGGCGCGCTCTCCACCTTCGCCAACACCAGCTCCTTCTTCTGGACCGTGGCCATCGCGCTCTACCTGTACCTCAGCATCGTCCGCACCCCGCGCGCGCCCCGCGCCGGCCGCCTGCTCCTGGCCTTCCACGTCGTCAGGTGGGTGGCCGCCCCGGGCCCGCGCCCTTCGGGGCCCTGGTCTGCGTCGGATCCCGGGGGGCGCCCCGCAGGCAGTGTGCGTGCTCCTGCGCTCCTCCCCGGGACGGGTCAGGCTGTCTGAGAAGGGCACCTGTGTGAGCACCCCCTTTCTGCCTCCCTCTGCCTGAGGCCCCGTCAGGGGGGCCCCTGGGCTCAGCCCCGGAGGGAGGAGGGCCAGCGCTGGCCCCCAGCGATCGCCCTGGAGAGCCGAGGCCACTCTGGGTCCCTGGCTCCCGCTTCCCTGCATCCTGACCCCTGTGCTGCCCGCGGGGGAAGCCCTGGACCCCAGGCTGGGAGAGCGGCTGGGGGGCTGCCCGGGTGGCAGAGCCTGCCAGCTCCCTCCCCACCCCTGCAGCCTCTCTGCACCCTGACCCACGGCAGCCGCGGGTCCCGCCAGCCCCCTGCCCAGCGCGGTGCCTCCGCTGTGCCGTTTACAAAAGACTCTCCTGTCTTTCCTCTCCGCTCATCGCCGGTTCTCAGCCCCTGTCTGTTGCTATCTCTGTCCCAGACGGGCTTGACTGGCTGAGTTGAGCAACGCTGAGGTTGAGGTTGAGGTCAGGGGCAGCGGCTGGCCTGGAGGAGGGCCACAGGCCGCCAGCGGATCTGAGGCCCCGCCCTGGCGTGGAGGCGGCTCATCAGTACCCGCCTTGCCTGAGGGAGAGTCCCCTCTCCCGCTCCCTCCCGCTCCCTCCGGGTGTCACTCCTAGACTCAGACTCCGGGGCGTCCCGCCCCAAGGGAGAGGACTCCTCCAGGCACTTCCTCTCCTCCCTCCGCAGATAAGAGCCCCAACGACCGCCCTAATTATAGGCCCTAATTATAGGCCCGCTCTGGGAAACGCTTGGGTGCTTTCCAGCGCCCAGGACAGTCAGCACTTCAGCAGAGACACCTGGGGTCACGGCAGTGAGGTCACAAGACTGCAAGAGTCACTTGACCTCCTCTTAGAGCTGCTGGCGGGAGGCCAGCTGGTGCCCGGGGAACAAATGTCCCGCCGCTCAGCTGCTCGGCCCCAGCTGCAGCCAGCCTTTCAGAGGGCGCCCGATGCTCAGGGACCGCAGACAAGGGTCTGTCTTCCCGCCCCTGGCAGCACCCCGCCGGCCTCCGTGTCCATTCACAGACCGAGGCCCTGGCCGGCTGGGTGAGTGAGGGCAGTGCATGCGCTAGGGTTCACATGGACTTGAGAAGGCACCCGAGGCTTTCTGGGCAAGAGTCTCTTCTCTCTCCGCACTCTTTTAAAAATACTGAACCTTGTATAGATTCCTTAGGAAAGCTGTCTTTTCTGCAGGAACTGCTGCACCTGGCTTATCTGTATCACCACACACAAACACACACACACACACCGAGTGGCCAAATGTTATGATCTCTGAGCACATACTCATCTGGCCACTCAATGTGTATCATCACATATAATAAAAGGCTACTATGCAATGATAGATCCTCCTTTCCTCCAGTTGATGGACAGACGTAAACCCCACCTGTTGCCGGACATTCCTGAGCACTGAACCACCCATCAGCACCTGCCAAATACCCTAAGCCCTGATTCCTAAGGAGTTCGACCAGCAGGCAGGCTGGCCAACTGCCCATGTCTCTTCCTCCTGGCCAGTCTGGCCGGACCCTACCCATGCACGAATTATACACACACATACACACACACACATTCAGAGATCATAATAATTGGGGGGGGGGTGTCTGTGTGTGTGTATATATATATATATTTAAATATGTGTGTGTGTGTATGTGTAAATATATATATTTAAAGATAAGCTGGGTGTAGCAGTTCCTATAGAAAAGACAGCTTTCCTAAGGAGCCCGAGTCGGGAGTTCTTTCTGTCCGCTTCAGGGGGTCCTGTGATGCTTGGGAAAAGCTTTCTGAGGAGGTCGGTGTGTCCCCTTCCTCCATGAAAAGGTGACCCTGTTCCTCCAGTTTGTTGAACGGGATCCACCTGTTTCTTAAAAGAAAAAAGATAGGAAATTACTGTGTCCGCGCTGGAAAGGGACTCAGCATTTCCCCCTCGGAGGCGGGAGCAGGGTTACTGGACGGAGAGAAGCGGTCAGACCCGTCTAACAGGTTCATCTGTGGACCCAGATCCTCCCGGACTGGAGGCTAACACCTGACTGGGCCCTGGAGCATCCGTGGATTGTTGCTTAAGTGCCCGCTGGTGTGAGAAATGCCATCTTCAGACACTGGCTAGACACGTGGTCGGCAAACCGCAACTCGCGAGCCACATGCGACTCTTTGGCCCCTTGAGTGTGGCTCTTCCACAAAATACCACGTGCAGCAGTGCGATTGAAATTTCGTTGCCCAGGCACAGAAGTCGGTTTTTGGCCTGGGCAAATCTATTTTGAAGAAGTGGTTCTAACGCCGAGCCACACTCAAGGGGCCAAAGAGCCGCATGTGGCTCGTGAGCCGCGGTTTGCCAACCACTGGGCTATACTGTCACCACGTGTTACCATTTCAGATAACAGTCCATCCAACTCAAATCTCTGGTCTTGAAAACCAAAATATGACAGCACCCAAGGTTTTAACTATATTCCGTAAAAGAGTTTTTATGAATTGATTATTTTTAAACTGACAAATATCCTGGTAAGTGGACAAAAGCCACATCTGGACAAACTATAAAGGTTAGTAAATATATGGGGAAAATTTAGCCCCATTAGTTAGTGCTCAAAGCAATGTGAGTTTTAACATTTGAGGTATCATTTTTCTCACTGAATTAAGAAAAATGTACTAAGGCAGAACAGGGACGTATTAAATGCCGATGGAGCCGGTATTTCCCTGCATTGTTCTTGGCGATGTAATTCGGAGTAATCTGTGTGGAAAGCACTTGGCTCATACCCCTTGATCCGGTAATCCTATTTATGGAGACCTAGTCCGAGGAGATAATCCCGCACGCATGCAAAGCTGTGTGTGCAGAGGAGCTTGTGAGACCGTTCTCACGGGAGAATTCAAAAGCCACCTCAGTGTCCACCAGAGAGGGCACAGTGCGTTTCAGACAGCCCACGGGAAGTGTAGCCATTACCGGCTGTGAATTCTGTGCACCTTTTTTTTTTTAATGGTTTGATAGCGCTAGTTGGTTTGGCTCAGTGGATAGAGCATCGACCTGTGGACTGAAGGGTCCCAGGTTCGATTCTGGTCAAGGGCACATGCCTACGGCGCAGGCTCGATCGCCAAGGTCAGTCCTGTTACAGTTCCATCTTGTCTCTTGGCCTTGACACTGATTTTTTAGTTTGAGGTATAATTTGACAATGAGATATTTTTAACTTTCCAGATTTCCCCCATTATCAGCATTGTAGCATGTCACCTTTGTCCTCTCCAGTTATTTCTTCTGTTTTTTTCTCTCTTTCTGGAAACATTTAAGCGTAAGTCGCAGCCCTGATGCCCCTGAGTGTGTGTTTCTGGAAGACAAGGACAGTCTCCAAGGACCACATAGAGCCGGCTGCAGTGGCTCAGTGGTATGAGCCAGGAGGTCAGGGTTCGATTCCTAGTCAGGGCACATGCCTGGGTTGTGGGCTTGATCCCCAGTGTGGGGCGTACAGGAGGCAGCCCATCAAGGAGTCTCTCTCATCATTGATGTTTCTATCTCTCTCCTTCCTCCCTGAAATCCATAAAAAGTATACATTTTTTAAAAATATATTTTATTGATTTTTCACAGAGAGGAAGGGAGAGGGAGAGAGAGTTAGAAACATCGATGAGAGAGAAACATTGATCAGCTGCCTCCTGCACACGCCCCACTAGGGATGTGCCCGCAACCAAGGTACATGCTCTTGAACTGGAATTGAACCTGGGACCCTTCAGTCGCAGGCTGACCACTATCCACTGAGCCATGCTTGTTAGGGCTATATATATATATATATATATATATATATATATATATATATATATATATGGCTATATATATATATTTTTTTTTTTAATTTTTTTTTTTAAGGACCACTTAGGCCTCCAGGGGCAGGGGGTAGCCGGCGGCGTGCGGCAGGGCTGCGGATCTCACTGAGGCTCCAGTCATGTCACACTGTCCGCGGCAGCAGAGGGAGTGTGGCCTGTGTGCGGACTCGCCCTCAGCCTCAGTCGGGACAGTTCCTCCGTCTCTCGGGGTCCCCGCGCTGGCTCTGGAGGGGCGCCCGCCCCTGTGGCAGCGCCCTCTGCCCGGGAGCCGGGCGGAGAGCCACGTTTTTAAAACATAAACGTCTCTAACACCGCTTCTTCAACACAGACTCGCCCAGGCCGTGGTATTTTGGGGAAGAGCCACACTCAAGGGGCCCAAGAGCCGCATGTGGCTCTCGAGCCGCGGTTTGCCGACCACGGGCCTTGGAGTTACCGACCCGGCCTCCACTGCGGTTACCGTGTTCCGCTTTGTCAGGAAGAGGTGCTGTGGAGGGAGCGTCCTGCTGCTCTCAGACTCCCGCACGCACAGTCCCGGGCAGCGCACTTGCTGGCCGTCAGGGGGAAGATTCAGGTCCGGGGAAGCCCCGTAGTCAGTCCTCTCCGCTCTGTTGCGGAGCCTGGTACAGACGCCCTGCATCGCACGTTCATGTGCATGTGCATCTGTGGCCACCGGCTGCAGTCCTCACCTGAGGAAGTGCTGGGCCCTGGCCAGTGTGGCTCAGCGGATAGAGCATCAGCCTGCGGACTGAAGGATCCTGGGTTCGATTCCGGTCCAGGGCACATGCCCGGGTTGCAGGCTTGATCCCAAGTAGGGGGCATGCAGTCAATCAATGATTCTCTCTTATCGTGGATATTTCTCTCTCTCCCCCTCACTCTCTGAAATCAATGAAATATACTTACAGAAAGAAAGTGCTAGAAGCTCAGGCCGCAGCTGCTGTGTGGGGGTCAGTTCCCTTCCCCTAAGATCAGCCCCGTTGGCCTGGCCCATCCTGTGCGCCAGGAGGTGACCTCCTTTCTAAAGCAGCCCCCCCCCAGCGGGCTGCTCCCGGGGGACGTGGGGGTGGGTCCTGCTGGGTC